TTTGAGATTAATGTATTTTCATTTATATTCATATAACTCCATAAAATATTAGTAAGATGGTTTTCTAAAGTACCGATCTGAAAAATACAGATTTCAATAATTAAATATAGAAACAACAAGGCTCAAAACGATTAAATCAATATAATCTGATGATTGCCTTTTTTTCAAGTCAATACTGCTTCTTAATGTGTAAAATTTTTTTATTATTGGGAGTACAAATTAGATCCGTTTCCCTAAAGATGGCTCCAGCTGTTGTGAATGGTTCATAATGACAGCTGATTTTGGCGGTTTCAGAGAGGTTAAACATCTGCTAATAATATTCAGTTTATATCGCTTTGAGTTTCATACAAAAATCTTGATTTTTACTGTGTTTGAAATGTCGAATTTTGTATTAACCAAGCAGCAGGAGGTTTTGATTTTGCGGGAGGTTTTGATTTTCTGCTTTAATTGGAAGAAAAGTGCGGCTGAAGACCATCGAATGCTTGTCAAAGTTTATGGTGATTGGTTATGACACTGCTCCAACTGATAAATCATGTAGGGAATGGTTTCGACGTTTCAAGGATATTTCAGCATTGAAGACAAGCCTCGCTCTGGACAGCCAAAAAATTCGAAGATAAAGAATTAGAGATATTACTCGAAGAAGATCAGAGTCAAACGCAAGAGGAGCTTGCAGAATTATTGACGGTAACTCAACAAGCCGTTTCTGTACGATTGAGAATCATGGGAATGATTCAAAAACAAGGAAATTGAGTGCCTTATGAACTGAAACCGAGAGAAAAGTTGAAAGGCGATTTTTCACTTGCGAACAACTGATTCAAAGACAACAGAGAAAAGGTTTTTTGCATCGGTTGTGACTGAAGATAAGAAGTGGATATTCTACGACTACCCTAAAAAGAAAAAATACTACGCTAACCCCGATCAATCGTTGCCATCGACTTCAACATCAACACTACGGCCGAACATTCGAAGATTATGTTCTGTATCTGGTGGGACCAAAAGGGTCTTGTTTACTATGAGCTGCTGAAACCTGACGATTCATTACGGGCGATCAATATCGGCTACAATTGATTCGTTTGAGCCATGCATTGCGAGAAAAACGGCCGGAAAAGACATGACGAGCAAAGACATGATAAAGTTATTCTTCTTCATCACAACACTCGGCCTCATGTCGCTAAAGTCGTAAAAAAATATTTGGAAACGCTCAATGGGATGTTTTTCCGTACCCGCCGTATTCTCCGGACATTGCTCCTTCTGATTACTGGTTGTTCCGAAGAATGCAGCAAGTCACCGGTTCACTTCTTTCGCAGAAATCGAAAATTAGCTCTAAAATTGGATCGCCTCCAAAGACGAGTCATTTTTTCGAGATAGAATTCGAAAATTGCCTGAGAGATGAGAAAAAGTAGTAGGCAACGATGGACAACACTTTAGTTGATCTGTTCATTCATTTTGTTTTGAAATAAATGCACAAAAAAACAGACCGAACTAATTTGTACTCCCAATATAATATTTTATAAAATTTACAACAGAATAAACATTTCGATCTCTGTTTTTAAGTCCTCTTCAGTACAATATAAAAAATAAAATAAAAAATGCTATTAATCTTCTTATCAGCGTATGTAAACAATTCTTATAAAGCGCATGTTGTATTTGATTGATAGTGATTTTGCGAACGTATAAAATTGACCTGGTATTATTGATTACGTTGTCTTATAAATCTTTATATGCATTAATACATCAAATTGCCAGATTTATTAAGTAATTACATTATTACATAATTTTAATAAATTGATTTTCTCTTGTGACTTACATGAAATTGATAAGTGAAGCACATTGAGATGTTGCACACTTCTAAAGTTCTCCTCAAATGAAAGTCATCATGCAAACATTAAACCGACACATACAATATACTGAAAAGAGGAGGTTAATTATTAACTAATACTGAAAAGAGGAGGTTAATTATTAACAAGTTAATAATTAAAATTATGTATATAATTAATAAGATAATAAATTAATAAACTACAATAAGATAATAAATTAATTAACTGGAATTGAAAGTTAATTCTGGGAAATGAGTCAGTAAAATCAATAAAAGTTAAAAATGCAATAAATAATAAACTTTTAGATAAGAAGTTAAGTTAAATAAATTAAGCTAACAATTTATACACAATTTTTAAACATGATAATTATTGAAGCTGTAAATTTTTGTATAATATAAATAGCTGAATGTATAGATAACGTTAAATAAGATTAAAATATAAGAAATTTAAAAGTTCAATGTCATTTTTGTAAATTTATTCCATTCATTTGTCTTTTTTTTTGTATGTAACATTTCAGAAATCTATTTCTTTTTAAAGTTTGTCTCCTTATTTAAGATCTTTTTGTTACCCCAATCGAAATGATTTTTCTAATTTGTGTTCTGTTATTACTGAGCGCTGAATTGTATTCCATCTTATATAATTCTTATGGTTCTTTTTCTAATTTCTGTTATTTTGTTTGTTTGGTCCACATATGCATCACATTTTTACATTTTATTTCATAAACTACGTTTGTGTGTGAAACCTAAGGAAGTTTATCTTTTAACCTTTAGACTGTCGGCATTTTTTTAAAATAGTGATTCTTTTTTCTCAAAAATTTTTTTATGTAAATAACATACACATGTGCAAAATTTTTAGATTTGTGTAGAATTACAAAAGTAGCAAGGAACATACGATCAAATATAAAAAATGTTTATTTTCTCAAAAACAGTGTATTTTGAGGGTTTTTGGTATCACTAATTCCAATTCTGAGCATAGATTTATAAAATTTCGAATCTTAAGCGCAATATTGACAACATAAATGAATATAAACGTATACGTATAAACTCTGAACTTTCCTTTATTGTTACCCAGAGCTAACAATGGATATAGAAAATTTGTAGCTCTTTTTTTACTTTTCTTTTTTGTTTTATAATTTTTAAAATTTTTTTATATATTTTAATTTTTTTGTATATTTTTCAATACTTATATTTTTTAATATATTTTAGACAACATGTATACAATTATGTTTGTATGTAATATATATTAGTATTAAAAATACCATTAAAAATGGTGATATTTTAAATCACAAAAGCCATAAAAGTGGCTTTCCCAACAGTCTAAAGATTAAAACTTTGATAAACCATTTAAAACTTTAAATTCTAAATTAAAACTTGTTAAATCCTAAGTCATACGAACAATGGGACTGTTTTTAATAAAACTTATTTATTTTATTTGAAATTTTATTTATGAAAAGAATGATGAAATATCTAGATTTTTTAATTTCCCTGTTATTATGGGAATCTAAATTCAGCGAATTTTGATTTAATTGTTAGAACTATGTAATCTTTTATTAATATTATTAAAGATCTTTTTTAATGGATCTTACTAAGTGAAATTTATATGGCATTGTCAAAATTCTCTCTGTGGAACCTTGTAGGATAAATGGAGCATTCTATCAACTAAACTCAGTATCATTCCTCCTTTTCGACCAAGAGGATGGTGAGAGTAATAGTTCAAATAACATCGCGAACAGGTGGATTTTGTGTATAGATTGCAAATCAAATAATTATTGTATTTGATTAGCATAACATTCAGGAAATTTAAGGAAAGAACTTATCACCTTATTCAAGAGTAAAAAAAAGTTCAATCTGTAATGATAAATCATAAATGATAAGTCATAAGTTAAAAATTTTTTATTCGAGATTAGAATTGTCAATATTTCAATTTTAATGTCAATTGTCAATTTTAATGCTCCACTCAATTTCATGTAAGTCACAAGAAAATCAGTTTATTCGAATTATACAATAATGTAATTTACTACTGAGTAAACTTGACAATTTGCTGTATTGATGCATATAAAGGAGATTTATAAGACAGCATAGCCAATAATATCTTTTATACACGTTCGTAAAATCACTACAATCAGATACATATGCTTTATAAGAATCATTTACATACGCTGATAAGATTAATAGCATGTATTTTCTATTTTATTTTTTATTTTTTATATTGCATTGAAGGATCTAAAAACAGAAATCGAAACATTTGCTGTTGCTAATTTCATAAAATAATAAAAAAATTTTACACATTAAAAACCTGTATTAAAAATATATACACCAGGTTATACAGATTTCAAAACTATAAAATGTTTTTTTAAACATTTCGATGCAATGATTTTTTATAAAATTCTTTTATCTTAAAATTTTTGCAGGGTGATTCTCTAATTTTGTTGAGTAGTGTATTTATATATATATAATTTTTTCTAACTAAATATGATTGATTCTATACAATTTCATTAGTTTGTTGCTACTTTATAAAAATTGTTTGCCTAAGGCCTAAGATAAAATAATGATTTTTAATATTCTGACATAATTAAACGATATCTGAAATTTTAATCATCTAGTACTGAACAATCTGCATTATATTATTTTTTTATCTTATAAATTTTATAATTTATTACAGTATCTATTATACATGCTTTCGAATATTGTATCTTCCTTTTTTTTCTTTTTCTATCTTTCTATCAACTAGCTAAAAATATTGTAAGTTTTAATAATTTAAAACTAAAGAGAGAGAAAAATTATTCTTGAAGCTTCCACGGGTGCTACATAAAGATTATGCGTTTCGCGGATTTCCTCCGTGTCCAGATCCATTCTTGGAATGCCAACGTTTTGTAAACCTTGCAGTTTACTTCATCAGGGCGAGGAGCAGCTTGATACTGAGTAGTATCAGGTAGTGGACTACAAGATTTACAAAACATTGGCTTTCCAAGAATGGATCTGGACGGAGAAAATCCGCGAAACGCATAATCTTTATATATAGAGAAAAAAATTTTTTAACGTTAAATTTCTCATGCTTGTCTGTTTATATATCAATATCATGTCTCTTTTGTTGAATGACCGCTCCCCCTCCCCTTCTACATCATGTTTTTATTTTGTATTTCATAAGCACATATCCAACGATCAATATCTATCTATGTTATAGGCGTCCTGTACCTAATATTCCCCCCCGAATTCCTGACAGACCATATTCTGGCCGACTAAACTGAGCTAGTCCGACACAGCAATGGCATACAAGACAGCAGCTTGTGCTACACAAGATGCAACAATCCGAGACAACATCAGGAAAGATCTCGTCCTAAATGACGGACGATAGCGAACCGGATGTACCGCAAGGCAAGGCTGACTGAAGAAATTCTCAATTACGCAATGAGAACACAAAGATCTCTTAAAGCGAGCGTCTTATATTCTGATCTCAGCGGCTTTGATGTCGAAGATTATAGATATTTACCGACAGGAATCATGAGAAGTAATTAGAAACGCAAGAAGGAACCATTTGTGCAGAGAGAAGAAAGAATAAGGCTGTGTTATGCGAATACTAGAGAAGAAAGAGGAAGAAGAAAGAAGAGACGAAGGTCAGATGCAAAAAAATGCTTCCGTTTCTCGATGATTGAAACAATTAGTAAAATTCTTTCAGTCACTTCTTCAACCATTTCTTTCTCTGGTGTATACTTCGACTTCTATCATTATTTATGACTTATGTACAGCTAGACTCGCATTAGTTTATGATGTAGTTCTAAGTATTAACACTGCGCTCGGTACGCGTCAGATGTATTTTTAAAAGGATAATTTTATTCGAAACGACAAATAGAAATCTTACAAGAAGAACGATTCAAATTCAACTCTTCTCGTGTTTGTTTAATTTAAAAAGCCATTTAAAATCGCGATTATCAGTATTATGTACAAGTTAAGACTACTAAGTATTCTCTCAAGAGTACGAGTTAATCTTTCGAGAAATGTCGAAATTGCAGTATTGTCATATAACTTAATTTTAATTAATGATCTGTGAAATTGCAAATGAATAATTAAAAAACTTTACCGGTTTTCTTGAATACTCCTTTTTATTACTCCTGCTTTTATGCGATATTTGAAATACAACATATTCTTCTTATTGTGAGTTTCGTGATGGAAGTATTGTAGAAGCGATTTTTTTTTCACATACAAGACGAATATGAGCAACTCAGTTACCTCAATTATAAAAGAATTAATTAAACAGAGAGACTAAATCACATTTCGTGAGAAACGGGGAGTTTGCGATCAGACATGCTATCAGCATTCCAGAGAAATTTTGCAGTTATGAAAAATCACACAGAAATATAAATTATTGTGATCAATGCATTATTATCGTAATGAAACAGATATGCTTGTTTAATCGTGCCAAGATGATCGTTTGTTAGGTACAATAACGATGCTATTTTTAAGGATCTCTAGAAATTCTGCGATGAACAACGAAGTGTAAACAGTAGGGCCATTGTACTGCAATAAGTGATATGTAAAAGATACAAAAGATGAAAATAGTGATATTTATTTTGAACAATCGTGTAGAATTTGTTTTTTATTGACTCATGCGCAATTATTTTTATAAGTATCTTTTTATAGTTATTTTTGCATCATAATATTAATAACTGCGCGACGAAGGCGGTATTGGAAAATGCATCACAATTATTCTGTAAATGAAATCAAAATGACAAACTATAAATGAAGTAACAGAAATTGTATATATAAAGTTTACAAATATAGTATTACACGTAAATGTGTTAGGAAGAAAGAGATTTTTATATTACAAACATTACTACGCACTAACAGTCAATCTACACTGACTGATCAATGATGATCAATGTGTATTAGGACATATAATAAATCAAATAAATGAATATTTAATACGAAATAATTCGTTTTATCATTGTGGGTAATGCTCCGTTTCCATCATAAATTATACAAAATGTTAGGAAATTAGTGATAAGTTTTTCGCACATGTGGTAAAATGAACTAACCTGAGAAGAAAAGTCCTCTACCATTTTACAATTGTCGCAATGTCCAGCAAATGAGAATGGATTAAAATGGATTCAGATTTTTCAGAAATACGGATTCATGAATGTTAAAATGAATCCTTTTCAATCCTGAATGCATTTTTATTTATTTTTTATTTATAGGAGTTGCATATAACTTATCTCTATGCCTTTCAAACCCAAAAATAATTAGCATTTTCTGTGCATCATGAATACTCAATTCAGAATTGTGAAATGCAGTTTTTTGATCTAATTGAATAAAAAAAGTTTTTATTTAAAAATGAATCATAAATGTTACTTAAATTATTCAAAATTATAAGTAGGAAGTTTTTTCGTTTTAATCTAACTAAATTCAAAAGTTATAACGTAAAAATAATTGAGCTGTTCTTTTTCTCTTTGATTAGAAGTAAAATGAATGATCAATGTGAATACTCCCAAGTCGAACACAGCCCGAATATTAGGCTAATCACAGAGCGCGACATCGGCCAAGCGAGATTAGATCCGACACTTACCCAATGTTGTCTCATAGTAATATAAATTATATTTTATTATATGTTAAATGATGATATTTTTATTATATCTATAACTTCATTACTAGTTTAGCTGATTGTAATTGAAGTAGAGAATGAATAACACATTTATTAATTGAAGAAGTGGTGTAGGTAGTGGCGGGTAACGTAGAAGATTCATAATCCAGAGATCCCAGATTCGAATCCCACTAAGGTACGTTTTTTAATACCAATTTGGAGTAGGTATACTTATTATAAATGTCTTAGGAATAAAAATTTGTAATCCTTAAATATGAATGTTTTTTTTTTCGAATTTTAAATTAGTGTCAGCTCGGATCCAATCCATTTCAATTCATTTTCAGATTTAAAATATGCATTAAAAAAATTTTAATCCCTTTTAATCCATTCTCGTTTGTTGGATGGTTAACAAGTTATTAACTTAAGAAAATAGCCAAATTCGCCCAGTTCACCGCACAAATGTAAGCGCGCGACAGGATAGTATCGCCCCGCGCGGCGAGGCACGCGTTCGCCATGGACATATGAATATCTGGACAGAAACTTCAGGTATGGGGGGAGGGGCGGGTGAAAATTTTAGGGAAGGAGGAAGCCGCCATATTGCTGGCGACATTGATGCTGCTTCTTTCTAGCGTAAAATAATAAAGTATGTTCTGTTTCATGCATGCTGCATTATTTATCCTTGTTATTCATCAAATATTAATTAATATTCTGCTTCATCCGTGAAACGGAATGCAATTTATGTGATTATCGCTGCTGGATATCATGATGAGGACAATAATTGCTTTTCATTTATACCGATTCTCAGATAATTCTCATTTGCGACGTCATAACTCACTTGAATGCGCATTCCTTCAATATTCCTTTAATAAATGAGATTTAATTTTTGTCTATAATCTGCATAAAATCGAGATCATGTGCTTTAAGTTTTGTAAACTCACTTTAAAAGTCAGGTTCGAACTTGTGTTGTTATGTGATAACTTTTTACCAACTAAGCAAATAATGACATCATTAATCTGAGTATGAAATACTCAGTTCACTTCAGTTCACTCAGTTTCACTTGCATGCAAATGGAAAGTAATTAATATTGCGCATAACAAAATTTTATATTTTTCTAAAATAAAACATCAACAATGCCACATTATGCTGTATCAATAAAAGCTACAAAAAACTAAGGAGCAAATTAATCAAGAACAAAATGTCGAAATAAGTTTTCATCGATACAATTTTCATCGACATATTTAACCTACAATAAAAATAAAAATTTAATACCCACCTAGCAAACGAGAATGGATTAAAATGGATTGAAATTTTTTTCTATCCGAATGCATATTTTAAATAGCGAATACTTTTTTTGGATTTAATTGGATTCAATTAGATTTAATTGGATGCAATTGGATTGAAAAACTGCATTTCCTATTCAAAATTTTGAATTGAACAGTTCATGAAACAATATTTCTGAAAATCTGAATCCATTTCAATTCATTTCAATCCATTTTCGTTTGCACGGTAAAATAAATAATAAAAAAGAGGTTATGAGCCAATAAGTCACTTTAATGCTAATCCAAAAATAATGTGAAATTAAATTTCATATAATTGAATAAATATTTGGACCTACACAAAGTCATTATCAATGTCACAACATATCGATAATTATGAGTACAAAAGTCGCATAAAAATTAAAATTCTAATAATATCTAAAGCCATGTTAAAATATTATTAATATAAAATTTGAGGCAGTATTATATATTTTATTAATATTTAACATGATTTTGGATTTTATTGCGACCTTAATTGTTGCTACTTACAATTACCTTCTTTGTAACGTTAATTATGACCTTGTCTACAGATCGAAATGTTTGTTCAATTATATAAAATTTAGTTTTATATTATTTCTAGTTTAGCATTAAAATAATTTGACTCATAACCCTTTTTTTAATTACTTGATTTGTAAACGTTTAACGGTTGTGTGCAATTGAAAACAATTTTCAGTTTATATTAAAAGAAGTAATGAATATATATGTATATTTATTACTTCTTTTACTATAAACAGAAAATTATTTTTAATTGCAACAATCGTTGAATTAACTTTGTCTCACACAAAATCCTATTTTTATGCATTAAAAATAATATCATAATATATATATCGATTTTCAAATAGAGCGCTAAAATGTCGCCAGACAAGATGACTGACCCTTCCCGTCGCGCGTCGTCCTCTCACCCGTAAGCTAGCTTTACGCTCCGTCCAGATATTTATATATTATACCGAGATAGATTTAATTTCGTTTCACAAATTAAAAATTTATAGAAATGATCTCGGTAAGGCGGTTAGATTGATAATGAGATATTCTTTTACAAATGCTTTTTTGTATAAAAATAGGTTGTAAGGAAAATGTTTGTGAGTGTGGTTTTGAATCTCAGGATTTAAACCATATTTTTTGGATTTGCCCCCGTCAGACCGAAATTTAGAAATGATTTCATTCAGTCACTTATTGAAATTGGAATTTTCGCTCCTTTATCGGTAGCTCGTGTTGTTTCTTTGTCATACATTAAAGCTATCAATTTTTTTATTTATTTTCATGAATAAATGTAACTTTAATATTTAAATTTTAATTGTATTCGTTTTTTATGCACGATCTTGCACCTACAATAACGTTCAGTTCCAGTTGATCTGCATCGAATCTGCATCAAATAAAGTGACACCTGGAGTCTCTGTTTTTGTAATCATTTTTGTAATCACAAAGATCCATTTGAAGACCTCTGGGATTATGTTGACAAACCTTATATTGAATAGTAATTTTTAAGTCTCTATTCCCGAAGAGATTCTTATGCTAGATTACCAGATCCGTTCTACGCATGGTACTATGACTCAATCATAGGATCGAAAATCCATACAGGGGAATTAGAAGAAGAAGAAGAAGAAGAAGATATTCAAATTGCGTCCGCAATTGCATTGTAAAGAACGTGTCTAGCGACGGCGGATGCGCACTTCGCCGCATGAGACAGGTATTATCCTGTCACGCGCTTGTATTTGGCGATGAGCTGGGCGAATTTGGCTATTTTCTTAAGTTAAAATTAGTTAACCATTGCGACAATTGTAAAAAAAATGATAGAGGACTTTTTTCTCAATTTAATCCATTCTACCACATGTGCGAAAAACTTATCACTAATTTCCAAACATCCTGTATATATTTTATAAATGATATATCATTTATGCATACATTTTGTATACATTATATATGTTTTGTAATTATTTTGTATATTATTTTATATATTATAAAATATG